CACTTGAGCGCCTGAAACTTCGGACTGAGTGCTGGCCCTCGCGGTGCTGTTATTGCCACGGCGCCGATGGCAGCGGCCTGTGGATTGAGGTGGTGAAGCTGACGGCGAGCGCGGCGATGCTGCCGATCGCCTCGCGCCAGGGCGCCGCGCTGCGCGCAGCCTGCCGGCTTTGGTCCATCGCCACGGTGCCGCGACCGTGCCTCCACAGCTCGATCACCTCGTTGAGCGAGCCGACCTCGGTGTTGAGGACCGTCACCAGGGAGGAGGAGGGGTCGGTGCCGGGGGCGGCCAGCTTGGACGGGAGCCCGCCCGCGTAGAGCTCGAGGAAGCGCGGCACCGTGGTGTACCCAAGCTGCAGCTGGTACCGCCTCAGCTCATAGATGGCGTCGCCGCCGCCGCCGCTCGCGCCCTCGGGCGGCGCCGCGTTTGCCAGCCCGTGCAGCCCAAAGTCAGCGACCAGCGGCGGCTCGACGTAGAGGCACGACTTTCGCTCTGCTACCCATTGGCCCCCGCTGTGGTCCAGCGGGTCGGCGGCGAGCGCTGCGTAGTAGGCGCTGCGCTCCTCATGGCCGCTCCAGCTGTATGTCGTGGTGGCGACGTCGAGCACGCCGCCCACTTCAGGGAGCGTCGCGGTGCGTAGCTGCGAGGAGCGGACCGCGAGCGCAGACGACTGGAAGGCCGCAGCCCATTCCGACGCCGCTCCCGGGTGAAGCCGTTCCTCGCGGAGCTCGACCATCGACGACATGCGGCGCGGGCTGCCGCGGCGAACGACGACGCGGGAGGAGCGCGCAGCACCACGGCGAAGTGAGGCTGACGACATTGCCCCGAAGCTCACAATACGAAAAGAATTTTACAACAATCAGAAGATGAGTAACGGGTTTTGGCCCATGCGCATGCTCTTCCTCGTGCTCGCCGCGCGCTCGGGAGCCGGAGTGGCGGGGTCGGAGCTGCTGCAACGGCGCGAGTGGCCGCGAGGGGTCGTGCTGGGGCTCTCCAGAGGGCGAGACCACTACGCGGCGCTCGCGGCGGCGCACGGGGCAGCTTCAGCTGAAACAGAGCCTCAGCAGCGCCTTCAGGCAGTGCAGCACAACGCCAGTGGCCTCTCTGGAGCTATGCGGCGGCTGGCGGGCCTGTGCGATGGCGCCGATCCGTGGGCTCGGGACGCGCTGTCGGCTCGCGTGCCGGTTGCCGAGTCAGCCTGGCTGGCGAGAAGCGCCAAGGCCTTCCCTGCATTCTGGGCGCTGCCCAGAAGTGCGCAGCACCTTTGCTGCGCCGACGGGCGGCCTCGATGCGGATTGCCGCGAGTGGCGTGGGAGCCTCCAGTGGCGCGGTCGTTGGTCAACACCGCGGCGCGCGCGCGCCGCGGGTGCTGCACAACAAGCGGAGTGCATGGGCGGGCGCTCGATCGCTTTTCGGTGCCCAACTTTGGCTATCGATTGCCGCCGGTTATTATAACCGGTGGGAGATCGTTCCTGCAGACGGAGGGATTCAACGCGGCGATAACTGCCCGAGACGTCCCTAACCTTTATTTATCTCTGCCCTGCTTCAGGAACCGGGGGCCGTCTTCCTCAACCAACCAAACCTCATTACCGACTGCCGGTCGTTGGGGACACGTGACTCCTGCAAAGGGCAGTGTCTCCACCCGGGAGTCGGACATTCCAAA